CTGGAGGGGTCCCTCCCCCCCTGTACCAGAACCAGGGGGGGGCCTCAATGGCGGGGGTCTAGGCAGGGGTGGGGACCCCCTGGCAGGGTTGGGGGCATTAGACCCCCCCCCACGTGTATCCCCATGGGCAGGGGGCTCTGGGAGTCTCACCCGGCTGCGGTGTCGCCATGGGGGCTCCGGGACCCGATCCAGCCTTGATCCGGGATCCTGTGGCCGCCTGGAGCACGAAGAGGAAGTGCTCCTTCCTGGACGCCACAGGGGCCCCCCCATCTCTCCAGCGGGACGGGGGACACAACTGGGTGGCTCTTGCCCATGCAATGAGTTTTGGGGGGTCTCAGCCCCAGCCCAGCTGTAGGATTGGGGCTCAGAGGGGCCCTGGAAGCTGGGGGTGGGGGTGGGAGGGGGGCTGGGTAAGAGCTGCACGATGACCTCGTGTTTGCACGCACTTGGATGTGCACATGCAGACTCATACGTCCACACTTGGGCGTGCATGCACACATGAGCTCACAGCCCATGCTTGTGCACAGGTTCACATAGACATGTTGCACACATACCTGTGCACCCCCAGGCTCATGCACAGCTTGGCATGTGCTTGGCGCGCACACACACACACACACACACACACGTGCACTCACACCCATCTGCATGCACAGGCACACACACTTGTGCATACATCCTTTCACACATGCAGGCACACACACATTTGCACACAGGTTTGCATGTGCATGCACACACATCTGCATGCACACAAAATGTACATGCATTTGTACATGCACACACCCACACAGACATGCCTGTGCACACCTGCACATGCTCACATGCATGCACAACCCCCCACATACACAGCTGCTCATGTGTGCACCCCTGCACCCACACCCCCTGCACATGCCAAGGCGGGGGGCTGGGCCAAGCCGGCTGCACGGGGCCCAGGCCCAGGGCACTGTGTTGGACCCTCCCGGGGACGCTAATGGGCCCATGTGGGACAAGCCGGGACACGTGTGGTGCCGCTTGGGCGCGGGGGGACGCGGAGGGGGGGGGGGGAGGGGGGGCCAGCCAATCCCAGGGGGCTTTGCCCTCCAGCCTGGTGGAGAAACTGAGGCAGCGGCAGCTCCAGAAAGCAGCAGGGTGCAGGCTTGGGGGCAGAGTGCGGCGTGCCTCAGTTTCCCCGATTGCAGCTGCTGTGAAGAGGCAGCAAGGTGGGAGGGGCAGTCGGGCCTGGTGACCCCCCACACCCCCAACAGGCAGCAGCCCTGCTTGAGCCTGCAGTCCAGGGTCCCTTGGCTGAGCCTCCACGCTTGGATGGGGGAAGAGGGGTGAAGCCAGCGGCCATTGGGCACAGGCACCAGAGCAGCGCCATCCCCCCCCCGCCGGGACGTTCGTTATTGCAACATGTTCCGGGAACTGGGAGCTCCTCCGGGGCGGGGAACAGGCCCAGGCCTCAACCCTAGGGCCTGGGCGGGGTAAGGGGGGGCTCAAACACCCCCCCTGGCTCCATCTCCAGCAGCGAGGGGCTGCAGATGCCCGGGGGGCTCTTGGGCTCATGCTTCAGGCTGGAAAGCACCCCCCACATGCTTCCGGGTCCACGCTTGGCCTCAGGCCTGCCTCAGTTTCCCCTGTGCCCAGCAGAGGCAGCAGGGGTCATGCCCATGCCTGGGTCTCACACCTGCCTCAGTTTCCCCTATGCCCACCAGGCACTGGCGCACACAAAGCGGCACTTGCAAATTAGTTCAAGGCTTTTATTAATAAACCAGGCAGTAAG